TGGCGCAGTTCAAAGCCATGTTGTCTGAAGGTCAGCTGTAATCTGTCCAAGGCCAGCATGGCATCCAATGGTGGCATGGACCTACATCCCATCTCTCCTTTGTTCTGCCAAGGGTAGCTTTCATTCCCCTGGTTACCTCATAGTCCAAGATAGCTGCCGAGCTGCAGCCATTATGAATGCATTCCTGGTAGCAGAAAGGAGGGGTAAAAGAAGCAGCTCACACTCTCTCCCTTGAAAGACACCTCTCGAAAGTTGTACCCTCCGCTTCCGCTTCTGTCCCTTTGTCACATGGCCATAGCTAACTGCAAAGAAGGCAGAAAAGTATAGTCTTTATTCCAGGGAGCCCTGTGCCCAACTAAAAAATGGGGTTCTACTGAGGAAAAACGGGGAGCACCAGCAGTCAGTGGCATACTGAATCACCACTGAGTCCACCATGCTCAGCAAGTCCTCACCCTGCCAGGAGCCCAGTGTCCAGTCCTTCTTCCACCCTGCACCTGACACATGTCTGACTCATGCCCGATGACCAACGAATGCCTGCTGAATGACTGGACAGACCAGGTGGACTTTTCTGACGCATGTACTGTTTTTCTGGGAAAGCCAAAGTAGTCTGTAGTCAAGGACACTGTCTGAGGTGTCTTTGGAGTCACTGTAACATTCTCCTCCCCACCCTCCAGCCACCATGCACACATCGCTAAGCACATTTAAGCCAAGCTTAGCCTAACCCTGCCCTGCCCACCCCTCCTCAGGCACTCACAGGAGGCTGCCTGCTGCCCCTGGGGGGCCAAGGCCACTCTGCAGGGGGCCCTTTAAAAGATGAATGCCTCAGTTGTGCCTTGCTTGACTAGGCCTAAGCAAATTCATCTGTCTTCACCCAAAGGAAGGAGTTTAAAAAGGATGAATATGGCAAAAAAAATAAAACAAATGACATTCAATACGGAAATGGTTCATGCATTCTTTTATTTATTAATTTTTTTTTACGGAGCACCTACTATGTGCCCGTCACTCTGTTAGGTACTGAAGAACCAGTGGAAAGCCAGGCAAACACGGTGTGGTTCCTGCCCCCTTGGAGCTTACGCTCTATCAGGCAATAAAACAAGGCTGACAGTAAAACTGACCTGCTAATAAGCAAATGCCTATAACCGACAAGGAGAAAATACAGGCTATTTCATGAACTTATTATAGAAATACCCCCTCCACCCCACCCAAGCCTGTGGTGTCTGGAAGTCTTTGCTGGGGAAGCTGCCTTTGAGCTACACTCTGAAAGAATGAGTAACAAACTCCTAAGTGTGCCTAGAAAAGGCCTCATGTCCAAGCACCGAGAATAGCACGTGCAGTGGCCTGAGCAGAAGGAAACGAGATGTGGGCCAAGGACTGAAACGCCAGCACCACTGAGCGGGAGAGAGCACGGGAGGGAGTGGCCAGGAGGGGCCTGAGGGGAGGCCAGAGGCCCAGGTCTTGGGCAAAGTCGGAACTTGGGGCTTTGTCTTGGGGGTTAAGTAGGGGAGTAACCAAATCTGATTTTTTTAATCAATTACAGTTGACATTCAATACTATTTTAGTTTTGTGTACAGCACAGTGGTTAAATATCCATACTTCTCCCCCCTCTTAAGAAGTATAAATACGCGAAGAGCCCAAGCAGCCCTTCTGTGATACAAGAAATGCCCTGCATGACAGGTGTAAACGTAAGTAGAGGAAAGGCGCTGGGCCTGGCAGACCCACCAGAACCGTGGGGCTGGAGGCAGGCAGAACCCTTCCTGAAAAGAAAGGGAATGTGGGGGGAGTGAGGGCGGAGGGGGGCAGTGTCCCGTTACCACCAGAAGGGGGAGGGGTGCTAGTAGACAAAGTAGCCGATACTCACCAAGATTTGCGGGGAGTGGGCTCAGAGGCTGCCCGGCACCTCCCTCACAGGGCGCTGCTCCGTTCCAGCTCCCGCCCACTCTAGTTAGTCTGACTCGCATCCTCAGCCCTCTTTGGACCCCCCTGCTAAGGGGGTTGCGGATCCCCTTTGCCCAGGTCACCCTGGGCAGGGCAAAACCTTGGAATGACAGTGCATAAAGAGCAGCCGCAAACACTGAAAAGGCTCATCGTTCCATTCCTGGAGGGGAGAAAGGTCAGGAATAAATAATACCCGGCTCACCTGGAACAGCCAAGTATGAGGCATCTACACATACAGACCTTCTAGAAAACTAAAATTTGGTCCCATAGGACAACAGACAAGACCTATTTTTAAATGTCTGTCACAAACTTAAATGTGTGTACACTTTGACTCAGCAGTTCCAGGAATTATTCCGATATCCTCACCATGTGGGATACGACGTGTCTCCAAGGTTATTAGCTGCTGCGGTGTTGTCATAGTAGATGGTTGAAAGGACCCACAAATTCAGGACTAACTAAATGAATTGTGGCATGTCCTGAAGTGGAAGATCGTGCAGCTTTGAAGAAGAGCGAGGCAGCAACTAACATACTGATGTGGAAGGAGCAGTGTGAAGTGCATGTCGAAGCGGCACATACAGCCCTGGCCAGGTGGCTCAGTGGATTGCAGCATTGTCCCTTCACCCAAAGTCTGAGGGTTCCATTCCCAGCCATGGCGCACGCCTAGGTTGCAGGTTGCAGGTTCAATCCCTGGTCAAGGTGTATACATGAGGCAACTTATGGATGTCTCTTTCTCTCTCTCTCTTTCTCTCCCTCCCTCCCTAAAATCCATAAAAACATATCCTCTGGTGAGGATTAAAAATAAAAATAAAAAAGCAGAACATATAACCCCACATATAGTACAACACCCTCTGTGAAAGATAAATATACATGTATACCTATTTTTTAAAATTATATATACATACTCTGCCTCAAATAAGTTAAATAATATGTAACATTAGTTTCTCTCTTGGAGAAAAACTGGGTGAATGGTAAGGAAGAAGTTCCTTTGTACTTTAGAATTGTACACAAGGAACCTGTGCAAAAACAAAAACGAGATTTACATTTTTGAGCTACATATGAGCTCCGAACGTACTATAAAAACCTAACTTTGTCAAGGCATCCTGGCCCGAGTATGGGACACCGGGACACCGCGTGGACACTCACAGGCACAGCATAGGGTGTGACCATCTGCGCCCAGGGCCACTGAGGCGTGGGAATGTGACACAGCACCAGACCCGCCACCAGGCAGGTAGTTAGTTGGGAGGCGGTAGGTCCCATCTTTCCTCAGTGTCCTCGCTGAAAGCAGATCTGGGCATCCACCTCTAGCATTTGTTGAAATACTGAAAGGTAAATGGGGGGCAGTGTCTCCCGAATGATGAGCGTCCTTGATCACAGAGTGAACGCACGGTAAAGTGCAGTGAAAGGAAGTTCTCCCTGGGGCTCTCCTGCCTTTCCCGGAGCAAAGCCTGAGTGTGGAAACTCTGTGAGACCCGGTGAGGCCCTGAGCTGTCCCAGGAAGCCCACCGCCTGGGCGCAGGGCCCCTTAAGACAGCTGGTGGGCTCCAGGGAGGACTGGGTGGGGCCCAGTTGAAAATACTGACTTGGGGCCTCGGTGAGCACAAGGTCCTCCCCATGGGCACCTCGCCTGTCCTGTGCTCTAACGCCACCGGCCTGGCTCCTGGGATGCAGTAAGAGGGCCAGGCACACGTGAACAGCTGGCAGAAGGTTGGCATTGTTTTATTAAATGTTTCAGGTATAGGCATGTTTGCAGATTATAATAACAATGCATTTCTTATTGTGAGCTGCCAAAGTAGTTAAAGCCATAGCTCTAAATAATGGTGTTAGTTTTTTCATCAAAAGGTGAAATCCAAGTGAACTCCTTTATTGTGACAGTCCCAAGCCCTGGCCCTGGGTGGGGGGTGGTTAGTAGGGGCAGAACACCAGGGCTCTCTGAAAGCAGCTTCAGTGAGGTGGGCAGTGAGGGAGGCGGAGATGAGCCCTTGCTTCGGGGCGCCAGGACTAGGACGTGAGTACCTGGGAAGGAGAGCCCCTGAGACTTTGCAGCCGGGCCGGAGGCCGAGCGTCCTGCAGTCCCTTCAACAGCACCCTCTGCGTGTGCCTGTTTATTCTCCCTTGGCATTTCGTCAAGTTTGAAAATGCACTCCTCTCAGCCGTGCTCAGGGCTTGCCTGCTTTGTCCCATCCTGGGGGCCCAGCAGCCTGCCTAGAACTGTGGTGGAGGCAGTGGAGCCAAGTGCCACAGACACCCAGACAGACCCTAAACCTGTACCTCCCCCAAGCCTTGGGGACTGTGTTTCAGCAAGGCAGGCAAACTCATTCACACTTGCAGAACCCATGCCCACTGACATGCACACAGCACGCCCTCCCCATGCAAACAGGATGAACACGCCCTTTACATACTCAGCTGTATATATGATTTAAAAAAAAAAAAAACCCTCCCTGTGAAAGAGTGGAGAGGTGGCGGCAGGGAGCAATGCAGAACGGGTAAGGCCGGAAGTGGAGCAGGAAAAGCCCGCCCACCAGTGCCAAGTCCTACACTATCATGGCTTCTAGAATTTGTGCTTGTGACACACCCAGTTGCTCAGAATGGACTGAGCCTCAGAAGGGTTGGGAAAACCAGGACTCCTTGGCATCTGGCTGCAAAGGAATGCAAATGGTAAAAAGACATCCCTAGCCACCAAGGAAAGGCCATGTGCCCGAGGAAGGAGGAGTGCAGCCTTGAGAACTGGACAGCCCTGGCTGCAAATTCTGTCACTTTCTAGGTAGGCCAGTTACTTGGTCTTTCCAGGCGTGGCTTTTCCTTATCTGCAAGCGGTTTTGAGGTCAACTCCTGTGTCTATGGGGACACTAAACTCCACATCGTACACCTGCTCTGCCTGCCTCCCGGGCCCATTAATGACCAAGGCCTTGACCACCTTTCAGCAAAGAAGTCTCTCTGGGAACAGCCTGAAGGTTTCCTCCCTGTGCCCAGTCCCCCTCCCATGCCCCCAACCAAAGCTTCTGATTCCAGGGACAGGATTCCTGACCATGTCTTTCCCACCCCACGGACAAGAGATACACGTACAGTGAGAGGGTTGGCAGAGCCAGCTGAGGCTTTATTTTGGGAGGAAAAACAAAACACTTTATTCGGCTTTTAGTCAGGGGCATGGGTAACAGGCGGTGCCCCAGACAGTAAACGCCCCCACCCCAAGGGTGAGCTGAGGCCTGGGGCTGCCCCTCAGGTGGTCTCCTGTGCCCTCCACTCCCCTACAGAGCTCCTTTCCCACAGGCTTGGGGGACAGGAGGGACCACAGAAGTCATTCACTTGGACAGGACATCAGATGACTCAGACACCAGCTTCCCATCGCGGGTCTCAATCTTCTTCACAACCACAGTCTTGGAGGAGCTGCTGTTGGTGTGGCTGAAGGAGCCAGAGCTCCCGCCAGAGCCCAGGCCAGACTGGAAGCCCAGGCTGTAGTTGAGGCTCCCATAAGCCGGGCTCAGCCCACCTGGTCAGGGAGAGGCAGCCGTGTGAGCACAGGAGCCCTGCACACGTCGGCCTCCAGCGCACCCTCTCCCTGCAGTCCCCTGGGCTGGGGAGCTGCCCCAGTTCACTGCTGCCGGACTGTCCAGGAATACCAAGGACAAGGTTGAGATGAGCTTTGATATTAGTTATGTGGCCTTGGACAAGACAGTGAATTGGGCCCCAGCTTCCTCAGCTGTCCAAGAGAGAAATATATAGGGGCTTTTATAAAGGCCCTGCCCTCCTGCCCTGCCCCAAGGAAGGGACACTCACCTGAGTAGCTGCTGCTAGTCTTGGTATAGATACTCATGTTCTGCATCCCAGACTCCAGCCTGTACCCATAAGGACATGTAGATGTCAGGACCAACCCCTGGCCCTGGCCCGGGACAACAGGACCCACCCTTCCCATCCCAGGACCCAGGGCTTGAGCCACTCAAATAACCCCACACCCACCGGCTCTCCTCGCCCTCCAGCAGCTTGCGGTAGGTGGCGATCTCCACGTCCAGGGCCAGCTTGACATTCATGAGCTCCTGATACTCACGCAGCTGCTGAGCCATGTCCTGCTTGGCGGCTCTCAGAGCAGCTTCCAGCTCAGCCACCTTGGCCTTAGCATCCTTGATGGCCAGCTCACCGCGCTCCTCGGCATCCTTGATGGCTGCCTCCAGGGAAGCCCTCTGTGGGAGGAGGGGAACATGAAAGCCGATAGAGCCGAGGCTGGTTACCTCTTGCTCCTACACCCACCCTCCCTTTCCACTCTTCTAGAGACCCCCTCTGACCTAGACTAACCAACTCCACTCAGCCCTCAGAAGATCTTACTAGCGAGTCCAGGAAGTGGAATGAGGAAATATGAGCAGCTTCCAGGCACTTTCCTGCCCAAATTTCTCACCTGGCACATGGTAAGGTATTATCCCCACCTTAACTGGACTAGATCTTTGCTTTCTAGACTGGAAAGTACCAACTCTACCCTGATATATAAGACAGAATAAAGCAGGGTTTGGGGAGGACCCAGCCCAGACCCCAACCTATCTGCCAAGACCCCTTTGACCCCTGTCATGGCCCCAAGGACCTCTTCAGCACCCCTCAGCCTCCCAGGAGCAATCTGAGACGTTGGACTATAGCTGCCCCCCACACACCCACACACACTCAGAAGCTCTGGTCTAGGATTCCCGCCCTGACCCTGGACTCCTTCCTATGTTGTCTCCTCCCGCTGGGATGTACCTGAGGATCCCCTCCATACCTGGCCTTTGAGCCCATCAATCTCAGCCCGGATTCTGCTGATGTTCCGGTTAATCTCAGAAATCTCTGTCTTCGTGCGACGCAGGTCATCCCCGTGTTTCCCGGCCAATATCTGCAGCTCCTCATACTGTGCATGAGATGGGGAATAGGCTTGAGAGAAGCCTCTGGAACCCAAGGTGCCCTCCATCCAAGGGAGAGTGCCTCTTAGCCATGTTACCAGAGCCCAGGTCATCGACCCCCACCCCCAGCCCCACCCCACGCACACCCTGAAGACCTTCTCCCAGACCTCTGGGCACGGGACTTCCCACCTCCGCCCCCAGCACCCACTCAGTAGGCACAGCTCATAGCAGGCAGAGTAGCATTTGAAATCCTGCTCCCTGCTCATGAACTGGAGCACAGAACTGGCCAGAAGCGGAGAGCCAGTGTAGGCACCCTACTCTTCACCTTGGTCTGGTAGATGGCCTCAGCCTCAGCCCGGCTGCGGTTGGCAATGTCCTCATACTGGGCCTTGACCTCGGCAATGATGCCGTCCAGGTCCAGGGAGCGGCTGTTGTCCATGGAGAGGATCACGGACGTGTCGGAGATCTGGGACTGCAGCTCACGAATCTCCTGCGGTAGGGAGGGGAGGTGGTGAGGCCCTATCCCTGCACACAAGGAGCCTTCTTTTGAGGAAGGGCCTTCCTTAGGGGACAAGCTAAGGGAACAGAGAGGAGAGGAGCAGGCGGGCATGAGGACCTGGGAGAGGGCGAAGTTCCTGAAGAGGCAAAAAGGTCAAAGACCTGGAACCTGCAGGGATGTAAGGATGAAATGAGTCCAGGGAAAAAGGAAATCTGGCTTTGGGCAAGTATCCAGAGGGGCAGGGCCCTTCTACAAGATCAGCTACCAATCTGAAGCCCACAGCAGGCTCCCACAGAACCCAAAGACCCAGAACAAAGGCTCTGAGACAGAGCAGGCCCGGCCTGCGTTGCCACTGAGTCGCCATTCTGTGTATGATGACCTTGGACAGGTTACTTCAGTCACTGAACACATCTTCTGATCTGCAAACTGAGGTAATCAACCCTTCCTCATGTGGCGGCACAGAACAGGAGAACATCAACGCTGAGTTAACATCAGCTGCTATAATTACCCAGTGGGGGCCCTTGCCTGCTGGTGCACTAGGGGCCAGGAGGATGGGGCTTAGGGAACAAGAATATACCTCGTCATACAGCTGCCTGTAGAAGTTGATCTCATCGGTCAGGCCTTCCAGGCGGGACTCCAGCTCTACCTTGTTCATGTAAGCTTCATCCACATCCTGGGGGTGTAGGGGAGGGACTCCTGAGCTCAGTGCCCATTATGGACCCCAACCCAGGGGCACCCAATAGCCTGGACTTGGAGAACCTTCTAACTACTGCCCTCTACACCTCACTCTGTGGCCTCATCCTCCAGGCCACCAGCCTCTACCCCACCGTACCTGCATCCCCAGGCCAGACACCTTTAGTCAATTTCCTACAGCACTCTTCCTCCTCCTCAGGAAACCTTCTATGTCCAGACCTCCAATTTTCTTAACCACGTCCCCATACTGATGTCCAGAGTTCTGTCTAAATGCACCTCCTTACCTCCCTGTTCTTGCCTACCTTTCTATGCTGGGTGTGTCTAGGAAGCACCCCAATGTTGGCTCACTGCTTAGAAACATTGAGGGACCAAACCCAGAAAGTTTAGTCTAGCTCTCTAGACTAAACTAGACAGCCCCAGCCGTCTACACTAAGCCCCAGCCCCCAGTGCCTGGTGGTGAAGGACACCCTCACCTTCTTGATGAGGACAAATTCGTTCTCCATCTCTGTGCGCTTGTTGATCTCATCCTCGTACCTGGTAAGGAAACGACTTAGAATCAAGGGATGAAGGCAAAGGGGAGGTTGCCCTGAGTCTTTTGAGTGGGGCAAGGATATCTGGAAAATTCAGTTCATGGAAATGCAAGATATGTGAGGGCTGGTCTGGTCCTTCTGCTCAGCAGCCAGCGGAGAGGCCTGAAGCAGGACACCTCTGTCCAAATCCATAGATTCTCACTGGACTGGGCGCAGCAGGCAAATCAGAAGAGTTAGCAACAGGGACTGACATAAGACCCGGACAGAGATCTCTGGGTTGTGCTGAAAACCAAAGCTGTACATATATAATAGGGGCCTGCTGGCTGCCCATCTCTGCCGTCTACTCCATAAATGTTAACATGTAATTTGTTGTCCAAACCTGGACGATTCTCAGACTGAAAGGGGGTGGGGACGACTAACAATTATGCCAGGATCACGGGTATAAAGTACATGATCCCGAGAAAACTCGGTCACGTGGTCACCGTAATTATACAAGACTGCATTGTCCAGTAAGTGGATGGAGGGTCATGGGCTCTCAGGTCTCTGGTCCCCTGGGGTGGGACAGGCCAGATGGCTTCCATTGGGCAGATGGCAGTGGGAAGGAGGGCAGCTCACTTATTCTTCAGGTCCTCCACCAGCCCCTGCATGTTGCCGAACTCCGCCTCCAGCCTCAGTTTGTCCTGGGCCAGCGTTTCCAGCTGCCGCCGCAGGTTGTTGATGTAGGCTTCAAACATGTTGTCCATGTTGCTGCGAGTTGTCTTCTGCTGCTGCATCAGGCTCCACTTGGTCTCCAGGACCTTGTTCTGCTGCTCCAGGCTCCGCACCTGCGTGAGGGGGGAGAGAACAGAAAGGTCCACATCGGGCCAGGGCTCAGAGCCGGGGGGGGGGGGGGGGGGGGGGGCGAGCAGTGTTTTCCACTCCCCCAAACAGCGGGGTAGGGAACCATGTCCTTCTTCCTCCTGCGGCGAGACATGAGGGCACATGGTTGAAAGGAAACAGCTAGGAGAGTCGTGTTGAACCTGTTTTTGGAAAACGAATAGGTCTTCTTGACTTAAATTGTATATTACAGTAAAAATAGCCGAGTGTTAACGTTTTATATAAGACAAAAAGAAAATGTAGATTGTTCTATTATCTACTATTATCATCATTATTATTGAGTGACTTTGAGGAACACATATAGTTTACAGGGAAATGTTAGCCCAAGGGCCTGGGGAGCAGTGGCCAGAAGACCCAGGTTTTAGCCAAACACTGCTACTAACCTGAGCTGCACAACCTTGGGCTGCTTCCCCTCTCAGAGTCGGGGCTCCTCAACCCTGCAACTGCCTGCAGGAACACAGGCAGGTCCCTTCAGGAGCCCCGCCCATGCAGAACTCACTCTCGGCCAGGGAAAAGACAAGGGACTAGGCAGGTCTATCTGCAAATGTCCGGCTCCCTGCTACCCTGCCACCCTACCACACCCCCGGAAACCTCCACCCTCACCTCTGCTCCAAACACGAAGGTCCAGTGTTCCTTAGGCTCAAGGAAACCCAGATTTTAGGATGAAATTAAGGCATGTTAGAAGGATAATATTTAAAAACTAATAATACACTGTATCCAAGAAATTTATTTTCCCTAGTCAACCCAAAGTTGTAACTTCTTTTTTTAATTGGGGGGGGAGGGTCTTAGAAAAGAAGGTTGATTGAGGGTCTGGCCTAAATCCAACAAAGGCCTCCGGAAATCCCCCTCTTCCCCAGATCATTCTGCCCCAAAATTCTGGAAAATAAGTGATTATTTTTGGCCAAGGACTGCAAAGCTCTTTACCTACATTATGTGCTTGCTGGGGCAAAACCTCTGATTTAGGGATTATTGTGCCCATTTCATAGACGAGACGATCAGATTCAGCTGGGGGGAGGGGCGCTCAAAGAAAAAGGCGGAGCACTGCAAACCCGGAATTCGGACTCCGCGCCTGTGCTTGAGTACTCAGCAGGGAGGACTCCAGGGCTAGGAGCACACAGTCAAGATGCAACGTCAAAGGCGCTCAGGGGCAGGGAACCAGGAAGCCCTGCCCAAGGCCTGGGGAGTGAGTTCGGGTTTCCTGGGGGATTCCAATCCCTAAACGTGTGAATCTGCCCCAGGATTTCCCGCCTTCCATTCCCAGAATGCCTCCCAGGAGCCAGTCAGCCAGGAGGTCCCCGGGGCTCCCTCGGGGAGCAAACCCCCAAGGCTGCAAAACTCGGCCGGGCCTCCACTGTGGCAAAGTGGAGCCAGGCTGTTGGGGCGGAGCCTGGAGAGTAGGGACAAGGGCTGAGCTGGGAAGCGTTATCTGAAGCCATAAACTCTGGGGTTTAAAAAGGACCTGAAACCTGGGCGGGGCGTCCAACGCCCGGAGACTTTGAATCGTCGAAGGGATTCATTCTAGCCAACCTCGGGCGTGGCCCCCACGCCCACCCCATCCACCCGGACACAGAGCGCTCCCAAACCCCAGCTTCAAAGAGTTCCCCGGAGGAGTGCACTACCCCGACGGCCGCCTCAGCCCTCCACCCCACGGTTGGGGGTGGGTCCTCCCCCGCCGGGCCCCGCCCACTGCAGGCTGCAGGGCAGGGGCCAAGTATGACTCATCTTGGTGACCCCCACACTCAGCCTAGGGACGCCAGAGGCTTCGGTCAATATTTGCCCGTTTAGATCAAGACACCAGTTCCTTTTCCTTGAATCCTATCAAACTCCCATTTAAAAAATAATAATAAAGCCCTGGGCACCTATGAAAAGTTTCTGCGGCGGTGCTCGGGGAGAGGCTCCGCTCCCACCCCGCAGGTAAACAGCTGCGACTCTTCCAGGCTGCACGTTTGTCCTCCACGGGACTTGGGTTGGGGTGAGATGAGGGAGGGAGGGAGGGAGGGAGGAAGCCTCCAAGATTCAGAATCAAAAGCCCAGACGCCCACCCCATCCCTGCACTACCCTCACCAAAGTACATGGGAGGAGTGAGTCACAGGTTGGAAGAAAGGATTGCCAGGGTGGGTAGGGCCCCACAGGATGCCAGTGGGGCCTGGAGATGTGCCCACCCGTAGGGTGACCAAGAGAAAGGGCATGGACCCTCATCGGGCCCCAGGCACAGCTAGCCAAGCAGGGAGAACCCTCACCTTATCGATGAAGGAAGCAAACTTGTTGTTGAGGCTCTTGATCTGCTCCTTTTCCTGGCTGCGCACAGCCTGGATGTTGGGGTCCACCTCTCGCTTCACAGGGCTCAGCAGGCTCTGGTTCACTTGGACGGCTTTGATGGTCCCCATGCTTCCAGGTCCACCAAAACCTCCGGCCAGATTCATGCTGGTGCCCAGCCCAAGCCGGGAGCTGCTGCTCACCCGGGAAAAGGCCGAGGAGCTGATGCTGGGCCCGCTGGAAAACGAGCGGCTGCTGAAGGCCCCTGGGCCAGAGGTGGACACCTTGAAGGACCTCTGGGTCATCCTTACGGACATGGTGGAGGATGGGGTGGAGGCGAGAAGGCCAAACTGGACAGAGATTCAAGAAGGTGCTAAAAAGCTGCTTCTAAGTGAGGGACAGCACGGCCCTTTATAAAAGAGAGCCCAGCCCGAAGGGAGGGGGATGGGCCTCGTACCTGAGTGGCCAGGCCCAGAGGAGGCTGGGCCTAACCTGATACCTGCCACCTACAGGCTGAGGGCAGCAGAGAGCTGCTCCCACCCTGGAGCCCATTCCAGCACCACTCCAGAGGCCCAGGAAAGCAATTCGATGAATGTGAAACTGCCGGGAATCCGGTGGCCTTGCACGAGTTCCCTGTAACGAAGAGACTGGCCAGGGATCACCCAGCCACTGCAACCCTGCTCCTCGGCCTTGTCTCCTTCCCTCCTGTGGGAAATCAAAGCAAAGACTGAGAAGACAGTGGGACAGGGATCCCTGCCATTCGGGTCTCCTATGAGCAGCTGACACCCATGTTCTCTCCACTTTGAGTGATGGTGAAAGTCTGCCCAAAGCTGGAGGACAGGAAACCTGGGTTCTGAATCCTTGAACCTGAGGTCAACCATTTGCCTCATCTCCCCTCAGCTACTGCTGTACCCTCAGCACCTTGTGCAGTGCCAAGGGGCTGGGTAAAGGTTTATAGACTGAACGAATGAATGAAAACACATACACACACACTGGCTGGCTGTCGTCTTCCCTCTGGGTCTGTAGGTACAAAATCCACCACAACACTTTTCCTGGACACAATCAGGTACTCTCTTGTTTTCCCAAGATCTCAGGATTCCCAGAGTCAGGCTGAACACTGTAGGCCTTGCTGAAGGGCAGAGGATGAAGAACAAGAGCTAAAGAGGTAGATGAGGGGAGCTTAGAAGAGAGGAAGCTGTGTTAGGGTCTTCATTGTTCTCCCTGTTCCTTGGGGAGCCATTCCCATAGTTCCCATAGCTCCCAGTGGGTGAATGAGGAAGGGAGGCAGGAAGGGAGGGGGGGGACAAGAGACTGAGAGTGAGTCAGTCTGCAGCCACCTTGGCCCTCCTCTTCCCAGGTGCCCAACTGGCCCAAGGAAATGAAGGTGGAGTTCCTGCACCTGTCTCCCTGAACCCATTATCAAAATGAGTCAGGAGGGCAGGTTGGGGCACAGCATGCACCTGCAGGTTGGAGAGAGGAGCTGAACAAGACACCCCAGGCCTGGGCGGGGTGGGTGGGGCAGGCCGTGGGTGGAAAGCAGGAGGTTTGTTTGGGTCCCGAAGGCAGAGATTCTAGCTGTAATCACCCGACAATGGGGCCAATTCTCTGAAAGATCCTGCAGGGCATGAAGTGGGGACTAGATGGCCCTAACTGGAGAGGCCAACAGAGCCACTCACCCAGATGCCCTGGAGGAGCAGGGAGCGGGCCCACAGCCCCAAAGCCTAGGAAGGGGGGTGACTACGACCACCCACGTACCACGCAGGTCCTCCTCATTCTTTTCCGGCAGACACAACTGGGTTCCCAGGAGGAAAAGTACATAGGCCCGTACAGAGGGGCAGAGAGACCCAGAAGCCCCCTACTTGGGGGACAGATATACGTCCAAAAAGGCAGACACACAGACAAGGTCCCCTCAGACTACTCACACACACATGTACACCCAAGACAACAACACATTTTGAAGTCCCTTCCAAAAAGACAAATTCAGAGACTCCCAGGGGGAATACAATGACCACATCCCTCTCTCCCTTCCCTCTTTCTCCTCCTCTTCCCCAGCCCCTGGTCTTTCGATGTGCTAGCTCAGACAAGTTAGTACCTGTTTGCACCAGGCCGTCTCCCAGCCCCTTTAAACAATGCTTAATTTTCCAAAGAATGATTTGAATGCATGCCACCCCCTCCCCAACGAACACCCACACCTAGCAGGGCAAAGAGACTTCTCCTTCCAGAGACCAAAGGGAGAGGTACGGGCCAGGTGCCAAACCCAGGACAGAGAAAGCGGAAGGAGAGAGGGAGGGGCCGGTCAGACTGGTATAGCAGCTGTGGGGAGAGGACAAGCCGCTTCCCACTTCTCCCCCTCCCCCACACTGCTGTTGGGTGGACCTGGGCCGGCTCTGAGGTGAGAGACCACAGGGACCTTTCCTGAAGTCCTGAGGACAGAACAGCGAGCCAGAGCCCCCTGAAATCTCAGCCCCTCTGCCACCACCCACCTGGTTCCCTGGTTCCCTGGTTCCCGGAGTGCTTTGTTTCAGGTGAGGACAGAGGAAGTTAAAAGGGGACACCGTGGTTGTCGTGTCATAGCGCTGGCCCACACCTCACCCAGGGGAGCCCAAATGCTAAGACAGCCCAGAACAATCCAGGACCGGAAGTGTCTGCATCTCAGTTATCCGATCCCTATTGCCTAGAGACCCCAGCCAACCCGCCCCACAAACCCAAGCTCAGCCGCAGTGCTGGGGCAGGAGGCCAGCGCTGCCCTCCCCAATGGCCCTGCTTGAGGTTTCAGAGTGAAGGCAGAAGAGGAAGGCCCCGGACCGGAGCCAAGTGGTGAGGGAAGAAAAAACCAGACTGGGGCAGCCTGCAGGCACAACTCCTGGTGAGGCTGGCTCCGATCGCTCTTGTCTGCCCAACAAAAGAGAAAGTGTTTGCGATGACTGTACCTGCGACTGTCCCAAACCGCCTTTCCTGGAGAACAGAAAGACACTTAACTGTCTGCCACCCCCTCAGGAGGCCTTGAGCCCTGGGCAGCTGTGTCAAGGCCGGGATCGGGGTGGGTGGATGGGTGATGTATCATTACGTCGCTGGCAATCATTGGAAAAGATGGTCTAAACCAGTTCTTCTCAGTGCTGGGGGATCCGACGAACAGACACCACATCCACAGCAGCACAAGCCCTAACAACCAACACAGAAACCCACGTGTCCACCAGATGATGAAAGGATAAACAAAATGTGGCATGTCCATACAATGGGGTATTGTTGGCGATGAAAAGGGTTGAGGTACCGATACTTGCTACAGCGTGGATGAACCTTGAAAACATTAAGCAAAATGAATCAAGTTAGTCACAAAAGGTGACAGATTGCACAAATCCATTTATATGAAATGTCCAGAATCCAAAAGCAAATCCATAGAGAAAGAGAACAGATTTTTTATGTCACCCAGGCTGGAAGGAATGGAGGTGACTGCTAAAGAATGTATACAGTGCTAAAGAATAAAAATGCCTGGCTGGTGTAGCTCAGTGGATTGAGCGCGGGCCTGCAAACCAGAGTATCGTGGTTCAATTCCCAGTCAGGGCACATGCCTGGGTTGCAGGCCAGTTCCCAGCAGGGGACACACGAGAGGCAACCATACATTGATGTTTCTCTCCCTCTCTCCTTCCCTTCCCCTCTAAAGATAAATAAATAAAATCTTTAAAAAAATGAAAGACTTTAAAAAAAAGAATAAAAATGTTTTTTTCTAGGGTAATAACAATGTTCTAAATTCAATTGTAGTGACGATCGCACACGTCTGTGGAAACAATGAACATAGTTGTGTTGTGCACTTTAAATGGTCAGATTGTCTAGCATGTGAATTACCACCCCAGCTCAATAAAGCTTTCACCAAAGGGGAAAAGGAGAGATGTCACAAAAGTATGAACGAGCCACGCATATAAAGCAGGGACTTTGTGGACCAGCACAGGCATCAGGGCACAGAAGGAAGATTTTGTTTAGATGCTGAAGGTAAAAGCAATGCCCCCTCTTTAGGTTAAGAATCAGAGTGGTGCCCCCAAAAAGCACTGAAATCACTTTGAAAGACAGACCATTTAAAATCTTACTGTTGCCCTGCTTGGTGTGGCTCAGTTGGTTGGCATATCCCTGGTTGGGGCACGTACTTGAAGGCACCCGAGTCAATGTTTCTCTTTCTTGTCGATGTTTCTCTCTCTCTTTCCTCTTCCTCCTCCCTCCCTCCCTTCCCACTCCCATTGAAAAAACTGTCCTCAGGTGAGAAAAAATACAAGAAAATCTTATTGTTAGCATAGTAATAGCTGTGTGTAGCACTGAGCAGACAGCAAGAACAATTAGTTTAAGTAGCCACAGATGACAGCAATGCCTACCTGTGGCCACATCATGAATAATAAAGTTGATTTGATTGTTGACTTTTGTGCTGTGTGTGCCTCAAGGCCAAAATTGTTCATAGTCGATGCTCCATAAACAGCGACTTTTCTTCATGATTCACGCTGGCTCTGGTGATTAAAGGCTGCAGAACGGAAAGGGACCGCCCACACCAGCAGAGTCGGGTGCCTCGCCATCTGTCCTCTGGGTCACTGCAGCAATACTCCTAGGTCAGGCAGCCTTTGATCCATATCCTACACCACAGGGATTTACACATGGATTAGACACTCATGAATGTACTCAGAACAGAAATTTGGACTTTGATAGATGTGCTTAGAAGTTATTAGAACAAGTGTGGAAGGAGGTGACCAGGTAAGCCTTTCTGCAGAGAAAAGAAGACGCAAGCCTGTGGGGGAAGGGACATCCACCCCTTTCCCTCTCGGTTCTTCTGACTTGTGGAATAATTAAAATAACATAAGGCAGGTTAACAGGAAAAAAATAACTTTTAATACATACACCCAGAAAACTCACATAAGCACAAAAATTCCAAAAATGGTAAGGCAAAACTGAGGTGTATTTGTCATTCTGGACTAAGGAGAGGGAGGTAGGGGTCTGGGACTTCAAAGGGAAAACGGACAATTGTCACGGGGAGGCGAGAAAAAGCAAAGGCTCGCTCGGCAACAGGGCGGCAGCAACCCAGAAACAGGGCAGCAGAGGTAAGAGTGCGACGAACGGACTCTGCTGGATTCCTGCCCGTCTACCACGTCTAGTTCGTGTTAGGCTAAGGTGAGAGCTCCCTTCCTGGAACAGGTTTTTTTGGTCTGAATTCCTTTGGGGGAGGTAAAAATCTCTTCTTGAGTTTGTTGGGCTTTTGTTGTAGTCTGCTTGAAGTAACCAACATTCGGGGATGGCAGCGTGGCACGTCGGAACCCCTGCAAGCCCAGCAGCCCAAGGAGGATGAGGTCCCCCTCCCTCCTTCACAGCCTCACAGCCTCACCTCCACTGACACCAAACCTGAAAGGGCCGTCCTTGACGCCAGGCCAGCCAGGTGGGAGTGTTACCGAACAAGGGGT